CTGCCGCTGGTTTCCCCGCGTCTGGCCTGTGGCACTGGCCTCTGCACAGGAGGAGTTTGAGCCGAGCACAATTAAAGAAATAATTGTATGTGGCTGAGTCCTCCAGCATGGAACCCAACTCTGCTCGGTAAAGAACCCTTCATTTTGTCCGATGTTAGCAGCCGGGCCTTGCTGGCTGGCCGGGGGGCTTACTCAACCTGCGGTCTGCGAAGGAAGCGTAATGACGCGCCCCGCGCTGGCGAGAGGACGCCGACTGGGGAGCCTTGCATGTGGCCTTGCCGTTCGGCGCGCGCTGTGCTACGGCTGCTGTCGAGGCCGAGCGGGTGGCGACAAACGGTGTTCTTGTCCCGCCCGGGAAGGCCAGGGGAAAGCGGAGAGCGGGGGGGGGAGGGATATCGTGCTGGAATGGCAGGGCACCGTTTGTGTCCCCGGCGATCCAGGGCACGGTTAGCGGCGAAAGGTGCCCTGGGTCAGTAGCAGTGCGCTGGGACTCCTGTGCGCTCATCTCTGAGTGTGTGAGCCGGCGGTTTTCAAGGGAGGTGGAACTTGGGGTGCGCAGGAAGGACCAGGCTCCTGAAAGGAGGACGGGAATCTGGGAAGGTGGAGAGCCGTTGCGGGATGCCCTCTTCCATAAGCCCTCCCCTGAAGGAAGGGCAGGCGCTGGGCTGGATGGGCCCAGGGAACTGGGCTGGGTGGGGGGCAGGCGCTGGGCTGGTGGGGGAGAGAGGTTCTGGGTTGGAAGGGCCCAGAGGTCTGGGCCGGGGAGTGTGTTTGTGGGGGGGACACTGGGCTGGGGGAGCTCACACAGTCACAGCCAATGGCTCTGGTAGGTGTCGCCCTGAGGGTGTGTCCCCCCCCCCCATGCCCCCTGGGAGTGACACACTCTCTCCTCATTGGCAGGTCCCATGTGCGACTTGCTCTGGTCGGACCCGCAGCCTCAGGTGAGTGTGACATGAAATCCCCCAGCCCGGGGGGTTCTTGTGGTGTCTCTGCAGGGCTGGTTCAGCTCCCGGGCCGGTGCGGGCTGCGCCATTGAGCTCTGTCCCCCTCTCCCCCCCCCGGGGGGCGCTGATCGCAGGCTGGGCTGAGGGGCTGGCTCAGAGCGCCCTCTGCTGGCTCGCTAGGGGGTTCCCTCCGCCGCCTGGCAGCTGATGCTGGCGCTCTGCCCCAGCTGACAGCTCATTGGGTGGGGACCCATCGGCTGTTCTGCTTGGTGCTCGCTCAGGGTCAGCCCCACCCTCTGGGGGGGCCCCCTGCCCAGATGCATGGCAGGGTCCTGCCTGTCTCTGAGGGAGGGTTGAGCCTTGGAGACTGGACCCCGGTTGGCCCCAGAGGTCTAGCTGGGGCGGGGACAAAGGGGCAGTGGATAGGGAGGTGCCCTGGGCTGTCCGTAGCACTGGCTGCCAGCGCAGCTCTGGCTGGCAGGAGAGAGGAAAGCTGCCGGAACCTGGGAGCCAGGGGTATCCGCTCTGTATCGTGAACCTGGGTCTGCGGGACCTGGCAGGACCCACGGGGAGTGTCCACATGGCAGCGTGCCCCTGGGCTTACTTCAGTAGCTAACCCGTCCGCGCAGGCCCTGGACTGAGGCTCGCGCTGTGTCCGCACCGCGCACGGACAGAGCGTGGACCGGAATTGCGGCAGGGCTGGGGCTGCCCTGAATCCCATTGCTTTGGAGTGGACATGAGTCGGAGTCTGGGCATAGCGGGCAGTGCAGGCAAACCCATGGGGCGGGGGAATGGGGGCTTCTGCAAGTGATCGAACTGGAACAGCGGGGTTAGCCAGGGCCCGGCGTGGGGCGAGCGATCAGCCGGTGGGGAGCATTGGCTAACCCCAGCATGTGGTGGGCTCCTGGCGGCAGCGGAGGTGGGTGGAATTGTGGGCCGGGGAGGGGCATTCCCTGCGCAGACTCCGTCCGGTGACTCCATCGGGATCCCCCTCCCCGCCTTTCCAGAACGGCCGGTCGGTCAGCAAGCGGGGCGTGAGCTGTCAGTTCGGGCCCGACGTCACCAAAAGCTTCCTGGAGCGGAACCATTTAGACTACGTCATCCGGAGCCACGAGGTCAAGGCCGAGGGCTACGAGGTGACGCACGACGGCAAGTGCATCACGGTCTTCTCAGCACCCAACTACTGGTGAGAGCCGGGGAGCCCCTCTGGCTTCTCCGCCCCGCCGCTGGTCCAGCCGGCTGCAGGCAGATCAGGCCTCCACCCTGGGGGCAGTGGGGGGTCCAGCGAGAGGTGCACCCACCCTCCCTCCACCCGCTGAGGCAGCCCCTCTGGGGCACTTGTTTAACAGCCAAGGGCAGGGCAGGAATCCTGCGGCCTGGGGCAATTCGCGCCCACCCCGGGTAATAGCAGCTGGAATTTTCCCAGGTAGCTGAGCTTTGCGCTCCCCTGTGAGAAGTGCTGGCGATTCTTAGTGACGCCGAGGAAGTCGGGCTCTCGGCCTTAGATCTTACCCACACTTCCTCCCTCCCCCCCAGCACTGCTGTGGGGGGAAGAGCGCCCCCTGCTGAGCCCCTGTCCCTGCAGCACAGCGACTGCCAGGGGAGTGCGCCCCCTGCTGAGCCTTGTGCCCCGCTGCCAGCTGTGCCTGGGTTTCTCTGGGACTCGTGGTACAGCGCTGGGCTAGCCCAGCTTTCCGGGTGCGATTCAGGGGACAGGAGCAAGGCCACCTGGGGTAGCGCCTGCACGTCCTACCTGGGCCCCCGGGAAGGGCAGATCGCTGGGGCAAGGCAGCAGATTGGCTGGCAGGCTGCGTCCCTCCCTGGCTCTTGGAGGGGAGAGGGTCTGGTGGCTAGAACAGCAGGGCTCCTGGACCTGCCCTGGCGGGGGAGTGGGATCTGTGGATGGGGCACTAGGACTCCACGGTTCTCCCCCTGGCTGTGGGAGGAGGGGTCTAGTGGTTAGAGCAGGAGAGGAGCCTGGGAGTTAGGACCCTGGGGTTTTATCCCCTGCTCAGCAAGTGCCGGGGACGTGTTACCTCTCGGGGCCGCCGTCTCCCCAGGCCGGCCGGTGAAGCATTCGAGGCTCCCGGTTCACCCTGCTCTCGGGGCTGCTTTCCCCACACGGCGGCAGTGGGGCCTGCTGGCTAAGGAAGGTCTCTGGGCGAGGGACAGGAATCCTCTGTCCCTCGCGGGATGCGCCCAGCCCTCTGCCTTCTCTCCCCAGCGACCAGATGGGCAATAAAGGCTCCTACATCCACCTGCGAGGGTCGGACCTGCGCCCCGAATTCCACCAGTTCACAGCTGTGGTGAGTGATGGGCTCAGTGATGAGCAACCCCCACTGGTCCTCGAGCTGCCCACGGGCCCTGGCTAGGTGGGCAGTCCTCCTCCTTCCGCTGCCTCTTGGGGTTCCCTGCCCGTTCAGAGCCAGGCCGCGCATCGGGCACCCCCCCCTTGGGCAGGGGAGCCGGGGCAGCTGGGGAATCTCTGAGCTTGTTCTTGGCTCTGGGGTGCGCCTGTCCTGTGCCACCCCGCTCTGCCCTGTCCTGCCCTGGTACTGCTGCTCCTCCTTAGCTACACCGGCATGAAGAGACTTCTGTGGGAAGCAGGATCCCCCCACCCCCTAGCGCACACACAATAGGGGCTCCCCAGCGGGTGTGGAGTGGCGAAGGAGAAAGACCAGACTGGTGTGCGAAGTGCCCTGTTCAGTGGCTCTTCCCTGCCCCCCAGGTCCATGGGGCTAGAACACATGGCGCTGTGGCTATTCCTGGCCTAGCGGGTGTGGAGTGGCGAAGGAGAAAGACCAGACTGGTGTGCAGAACACATGGCGCTGTGGCTATTCCCTGCCCCCCAGGTCCATGGGGCAGGGCTAGAACACATGGCGCTGTGGCTATTCCCGGCCCATGGGGCAGAGCATTAGCTACTTACAGCAGCGTCAGGGCTGTTCTTACACCAAGCCCAGAATGTGGGGAGCACAGAGGGGGCTTGAAGCCCCCCAGCCCTGCCCTCCCCAGTGACAGGGATGGAGGAGCTGGGATCGGGGCTCTGTGTCCCCAGACGGGCCCACCCTGTACCCCTGCGAATCCCACGGCCCACGGAGTCTGCCCAGCCCTGCTGCCTCGGACACAGGCAGCGTCCCTCGGCTGCTGCGCATGCCTGGCCTTAGCCCGCGGCTCCTCCTCCCTGGGAGCAGGAATTGCACACGGGTTTCATCAGTTTCTGGATGCCAGGAGCTGTTTATGCTCCCTGCAAGGTGTCCCCTTCCCCCCCTTCCTGCGGTCTGGATGCAGTGAAACCAGCTGTACTGGGGTGGGGCCACCTTGTCCCGGACCAGCACTGGGAAACTATTAAATCCCCTCTCCCCCACCCCCGTCACTGAGGACTGGGCCCGATTCTTACAACAGCTGGGCAGCCTCTGCTTCATGAAAGGGAAGTGCCCAGGAACGGGTCAGGGAAGAGACGTGTGCCAAGGTGCCCAGTGATCTAGGGCCCAGTGCGGCACTCAGAAGAGCAAGGGGCCCTGGCCTGCCACGTCCTTCCTTTGCTGAGAGAGGCCGGTTCAGCTGGAAGGCAACTGCACACAGAGGTCGAGTTTGGCTGCTAGGTTTGGCTGGAAGGGATCCCGGGAACGGACGTTCCTGACATGCCAGCCCTTTGGAAATGTTGAAAAGCAGCAGCGGGGGATCCCCGTGATTCTGTCCAGGATAAACGTCACTGGAAAGACGAACCAAACCCTGTAGAAACATGTTTGACAAACCTGGCAGCGCCGGGAGCCGGAGCCGTTAGTTCAACCCAACCCGGAGTTTTTCCCTTTTTCCCTTGGGTTCGGTTTTGCTCATCCTGAGCCGAAACGGCGTTGGCCTTTTTTGGTTCAGCCAACCCAGAAACCTCGTTTCTTCGCCCGGTGAAGAGGCACGAGCCTTGAGGCTGGGGCCGTGCCTCGTGCTGCGTTGTTTCTGGCAGTGTGGCCAGTCCCACGCCTGCCCCCGCCCCCCGTGCAGCCATCCACAGACCCCTACCCGGTCAGGGCTGGCAGTGAGCAGACAGGAAGTGGGGCTGAGGTCAACAAAACACATGGACCCAGTTGGAATTGACCCGGGAAGAGGCGAATGCCACGGCTCTCGTCTGGAAGGGAGATCCTATTTCCCCTGACCCCCCCTTCCCCCAAGCAAGTACTGTTGCTTAGTACCCCAAAACCCACTCCCTGCAGTCCAGTGGGGCACCCCCCCCAGGCATGGGGGCCGGCACTGCCTACCAGGGGAGAGCACCCCCTGCTGAGCTCCCTCCTCCTCCCTGCAACACAGTGCCCCCTAGTGCTGCACCAGGGCATTGGGGTCAGGGCCGCCTGCCAGGGGAGCGCCCCCTAGTGGAAATTCCACCTTGCTCCATGCAGCCTGGCGCCCCTTCGTGGCACACTGGGGCATCGCTCAGAGGGGAAAGAGCCTCCCCTCCAGCGCCTTGACGGCCCTCGGTTTGATCCCACCCCAAGTGGGCGGTGGCCCCTGAGATCTCCCAGGAGAGGGGGACGGTGCTGCCCCCCAGCCTAACGAAGCCCCTCTTCTCTTTCAGCCTCACCCCAACGTCAAGCCGATGGCCTACGCCAACACTCTCCTCCAGCTGGGGATGATGTAACCTCCCTGTCACCACCGCCCCCACCTGGGAGCCCCCAGGCGCAGCAGAGCCGACCCCTCGGCCCTTTTGCTTTCTTCCACCGTCCGCCCGGGCTGCCCAGGCGCCGGCGTGCCCACCAGGAGGGCGGGGGAGCCCCCTGCCCCCTCGGCTGAGCCCATTTGTAGTGTTGCCGTGAGCTGGCGCCGCGCCGCCGGGAGGCAGGGCGTGCGCAAGGAGTATTTTTTTTAATATATTGGAAAGATTGTATTTATTCCCAGCCAGCTCCGTTTGCCGCCCACTCCCTCCCGGCAGCTGTTCTTGGCCTGCGGGGTGGAGCGTGGGGGCCTGCCCTCTCTTCCCAAGTGCTGTGGCTTTGAGGCCTCTCTTGATAGGCAGGCACTGGCCTCGGGGGCTGCAGGAGAGGCGAGGGGGCAGCTGGGGGCAGAAGTTAGGATCAGGTCATGAGTGGAAGCAAGTGGTGGGTCAGGGGATTCTGAGCTCTGGGGCTGCAGGCCTGGGGCTGCCAGTCTCAAGATGCTCTGGCATCAGGTTACAGTTTTGTCACGGTTCTGGTCAGTGAGAGCGGGGGTGGGGTTGCAGGCACTAAACGGAAACCCACAGAAACTCGTGGCCTGCCCCCAGGACAAAACTCGGGCGGGGGGGGCCCTGCGGCCCCCGGGCTGAAATCAGAAATGTCTCAGTTGCAGCAAGGCCTGGGGTCCATGCCCTACCCTGGGCCTTACACAGAAGCAATAGGTGTGCGGGTGTGGGGCAGGCTGAGGCCTGGCCTCCAAGTGGTGCTCTTGCCAGGAGTGTGTGGCTGTGTGTGTGTAGCTGGGGTGGGGGGTGGGGGAGTGGGGGAAAGCAGACTG